GTATTCCTTTTGAAAATACCCGTCGAATGAGGGGTCATTTGTCAAAATCCGACGCTCCGTTCAAAAGTTATAGCCAAAATAAGATTTTCTTCTTCTTCCCAAAATGAAAATTAATTTCTGTTTGTCAGTTTGTCCACTTGTCCAAAATATGTTTTTTAAGTTCTGAAAATTTGATATGACGTTCATCACATCGATATAAAAAACTTTTGTTCTACCACTTTTGGAAAAACTAGCTAGTTTAGCGGGAAAACAGCTATAAATAGCTAAAATTCGGAAAGCCGTAACTTCTATACTACTAAAGCTACAGACTTGTGCTGCATCTCGTTTGAAAGGTATTTTTAAATGCTATAAACGCTTTCTATATGCAATTTGTGTAAATGTAATAGTTAAAAAAATATGAACAAAAGACAATTTTTTAAAACTTTTTTTTTAGCTTTTTTTATTTTTCTCAAAAACGGCTCTAACGATTTTCTTTAAAACTTTAAACTGTATAGCCCTTGAGATTCCTTAAATTTTGGTATACAAGACATTACTGTAAAAAGTCACGTTTAAAAGTTATTTTTATTCGAAAATGGCCACTTTTGCCAGCTCGAACAATTAACGCTCCCTGAGTATTGAATTTTGTGTGAGGGTATTCGAACTGTATTTTAGGGTCATGGAATCAGTAAATTTGCACTTAAGAGTTCCATATAGGAATCTTTTGTTCTACGACTTTTGGAAAAAGCCGCTACTTTAGCGGGAAAAAGCTAAAAATAGCTAAATTTCGTTAGTTTGTAAGTTCTACACTACTAAAGGTACAGACATGTGCTATACCTCGTTTAAAAGGTATTTTGAAATACTTCAACGCCTTTTTAACTTAATTTGTTAAAATACAATAGTTTTAAAATTATGATTGACCAATTTAAATTTAAATGTATATATTAGCTCCTATGAGAGCAAATGTAAACAAACAAAAACTTCTGATATCAAATAAAAACACCTCTTAACGAGGTAAAAAACTAGTGACGACCGCACCTTCAACATACAAAAGTTCTGATATCAACATTTGTGACGAAAAATTATTACACTCGTCATTAAATAGACTTTCTAATATTTTCTCATTCGGCACGCTGCAATAGAAAATGCCTGTGAAGGGAAAAAGGCTGGAATAGTCTGCTAGGGCGGGCCGAATGAGAAAAGATTAGAAAGTCTATTTAATGACGAGTGTAATAATTTTTCGTCACAAATGTTGATATCAGAACTTTTGTATGTTGAAGGTGCGGTCGTCACTAGTTTTTTACCTCGTTAAGAGGTGTTTTTATTTGATTCATATTTAAACAAATAAAAATGATTTCAATATTTAAAACCAACAATTCTTATTTATTTACCCAAGTGCACTATTTAAGACCCCCCATCGAAAAAGAAAACCTTTCCACCTCAAGCTCAAACGGGTTAACCTTCGGAGCTCTGAAGTATCACGCAGTTGCCGGCAATTCATGGCCATCAAAATCTATTGGGGGCAAACTTGAAATCTGTTCTGTGGCATAATTGAAGTTTTAACCCCCGGAAACGGCACCCCCCAACCCCCCTTCCCCTACTGTGTCACCTTTTGGCAGTCGAACTCATAATCGGGACACGTGCTGGCTTCGTTATTTCTCTCTTATTCCTTGGTTGGCTTTCATTTACCGAACTTTCGTCTTTTCCCCCGCCCTCTTTCAAATTGTCAAAGTTTTTTCTGCTTTTTTTTTCTTTGGCAGGGGGGCTAACTACTTTGCTGCCTTTTATGGACGCTCTTTATTTAGTCAATGACTTTGACGTCGACAACTTTAATCGAAAGCAATCTGGAGTCCCGGGTCTCTGAGGTGAGGTGTGCGCACGCGTTTCGCTTAATGCCGCGTAAATTGTTTCGCAGCCAAAGTTTGCACATTTCGCGTTATCCGCCATTTACATATTAACCCAAAAGCCGAAACCCGAAACTCGAAACCCAAAACCCCAGAGCCGAGGGCCCGAAAGGCCCAGGAATCCCTGGGCTCCTTCCAAAAATAGTTTTCAATTAGTGTGTTTCGGGGCGCCTCTGGCTGAGCAGGGTCTTCGGATTGTGCTTTCCTCAGGGGGGAAAGGGGGCCGCTGTACTTAAGTTTATTTGGACAAACTTTCCGCCCAGCTCAGCGAAATTATGCGCATTTTTATCGCTCGCCCGCTCGGCATTTTGTTCATGTTTATGTTTCTTTATCTCTGGCCGAAAAGTTATTGGCCAAATTAAACCGAAACTTGTTATTGTATCGGTGGCATCCATCTCTTCGGTTAGCAATTTAAAGCGATATTCGGCGATCATTTACAGCCTGCTTTTGACTTTTTCCTCCACATAAATCATGGGCAATATTTTTTATTTTATTGCTGCCTTTTGTACCTTGTGCGGCCAACATATTGTGCATAAATCTTTAATATTAAGTAAACACACATACAGTGCCGTCTAAATTTAAATTTATCGCCTGCTGCGCATTAGTTGTACTATGTGTGTAGAAAAAAAAAATAAAAAGGATGTCAGGAGCTGTAGGAGCAGGACACAATGTTGGGAGCTTAGCTTGGGAGCTCTGGATGAAATAGGACTAAAAGTTAAATGGAAATCTATGGCTTTGCGGCTTACCGGAGAGAAAGGGAATCCGGAATGCGGAAAGGGGTTTAGGCTTTGGGAAAAACGGGAAATGGAAATGTTATAAGCTGCAGGTAAATGTATGCAGTCGAAGGATATTTTTTCTGTAAAAACGAAACTCAAATAGAAGAATACCCAGGACGGGCTTAAAAACTAATATCTCAAAGAGGCAAGTATAACAAAGGGAAAAACGAGGGGGAAAAGTCCGGGTAAGACCGAGTTACCTTGTTAACTTAGATGAAAAGTTGACACTCAAGCGTGGAAAAATCGCTCAGAAATGCCAAAGAAGCCAACGCAATTGGCCTTGTTAGCGGCTGGCAACTCAAGAACCCCGTGCGCAACTGTACTTGCTCTTGTGGCCCACCTTAGTCCCCCTCACTTCCTTCCTTTCGATCCTTCAACTTCTTCCACTTATTTGACGCTTTTCAAAACTCTCTCACATATCCACAACAATCAACTGCGATTCGTGACGTGCTGAGGGCCCGCATTTCGAGGCTAAATGTCGAAAACTTTCATATTCGCCTCCCGGTGTCCCGCCATTAACTCTGTCCCAAAAGCTATGGTGAGCAGCAGGAAATCACTGCACATACAGTGAGGGAAACTACGGTGATTCGATAAAATTCTTGTTCATTCAAATAATAAAGCAAAAAATGTCAAGCCTTTTTATACCCTTGTAGAGGGTATTATAATTTCAGTCAGATGTTTGCAACGCAGTGAAGGAGACGTTTCCGACCACATAAAGTATATATATTCTTGATCAGCACCAATATCCGAGTCTATCTAGCCATGTCCGTCTGTCCGTCTGTCCGTCTGTCCGTCTGTCCGTCTGTCCGTTTCTATGCGAACTAGTCTCTCAGTTTTAAAGCTATCGCGATGAAACTTTCCCGAAGGTCTTCTTTCTATTGCAGGTAGTACATATGTCGGAGCCAGCCGGATCGGACCACTATATCTTAAGGCTCCCAATCAAATATAAGAAAATTCATTGTAACTTTGTAGGAAGTAGGCGTTTTGATTCTTGACTACTTAAAAACAAAATTGAAATAAATCGAAACGCTGAATCTGGAATCCCTGGAACTGCACCGAGTGAGTATTCTTTTATCTACAAGGGTATATAAGCTTCGGCTGGCCGAAGGTAGCTTCCTTTCTTGTTATATTTATGTGTGATGTTAGTAATGTTTACGAAATTGTAAACTTAATGGGTCTTGTTCTTTTAATCACCATCATATATGTTAAAATGAAAGCACAATTATTTTTTAAAATTAATGATAAAACAAAATCAGAATTATTTTTGTTAGTGTGCTTTCAGTACCATATTTTGCATTTTACCAAGGAATTTATGTCAGGACATGTTAATGCATAAGTGAATTATCACCTGCATTATTTTATTGTCTAGATAGATAAATCGATGTGTGATGTTAGTAATGTTTACGAAATTGTAAACTTAATGGGTCTTATTCTCTTAATCACCATCATATATGTTAAAATGAAAGCACAATTATTTTTTAAAATTAATGATAAAACAAAATCAGAATTATTTTTGTTAGTGTGCTTTCAGTACAATATTCTGCATTTTACCAAGGAATTTATGTCAGGACATGTTAATGCATAAGTGAATTATCACCTGCATTATTTTATTGTCTAGATAGATAAATCGATATTCATTTGTATCAATTTGCAGCTTTTAATATTTTAAATATATTACGTTACTGTCGAGAGAGTAAATAAATAAAGTAAAATAAATTAAATTAAATTACTTACTCTCACATTAAATAGGGGAAAACAGCATGCGAAGATAAATAAGGAAATAAATAAAATAAAACATCAGTGTAAAATGCGCACTTCTTTGATTAGGAAAAACGCCAGGTAATCGTCTGCGGGCGCCGCCACAAAAGCTTGGCTGGTTGACTGGTGGGGTGGTGTGGAGATGTGGAAATGGGAAATGGTGGGAGTGCCTGTGCACGGTGAAAATCAAATAAATAAAGTAAACCACAAGATGACGTCGTCGCCATGACAATGCCCTGGCTGGCTTGTCCAAAAAGAGATGGGGAATCGGGGAAACTGGGGGTTTGGGCGGGCGGATCTGTTGTTTATTCGATAAATCTATGGGAAGGCAAGCGGCGCTTGGCCATCGAGCCATTGGAAACGAGCAGAGAGAAGCTCGAAGCTTCGCCAGCCGTTTTTCAGTAACTGGCAAGCGTTCGAGCTGAGCGGGCTAAGCCGGGCCCAGAGCAACAACAACAGTACAGTCAGTGAGTGGGCGGTGGGTGGCATTTCCACCCGCAGGAAAATAGCTTTTCCCACCCAGTGTTTACGTGTGTGCCTCTGTGTGTGCGGTTGTTATTATTGATGGCTTCACTTTAACTTGCAGCTGGCTGCGGGAGCTTCATTAAGTGAGAGTTCGCTGCTGGATTTGTTGGCTTTGTTTGGACGTTGGCAACATCGTCGCCGTTATGGATTCACCTACACCGCCAATTGTCATCGAAGATTCAAACGGTTCAGCAATGGACGCCTGTTTCACGGCATTCGACAAAGACGGGTGAGTAGTTGGTAGGAAATAAGAAATATATTTATCGGATTTAATTAAATTACATGCCCTCCCCACACAAATAATCAACTATTTATAAATTAATCCTGTAATTATATAATCTCAAATTTAAATTCGGACCATTCGGTTGTTTGCCCTTTGTTTTATATTATATAATTACCTTTATTATAAAAAATATATGGTTTCGCTAAAAACTGCCACCACAAGCCGCAAAGTAGATTATTTGGCAAAACAAATAAACAAATGATCAAATTGTGTTGAAAAATATATTCAAAGCATATTCAGCACCGGTTAAAGTAAATAAACAATCATTTAAATGTTTTAGTTTTTCCTGCACAAATGGAAATATAATTTATTTTATAACAGGCTGTCCAACGTAAAATGGCGTGCATTAAATTTAATTGACATTTTGAGCCGTTTTATATGGGGCATATTTAATGTGAATCGATAAATGCAAATGTAGTGAACAAATTGTGTCCGTTCAAAAGCTCTTCTGTTTAAGATTGTGATTTAAATTTTGACTTCTAAAAATATCAATAGCAATAGCAGTCAATAGCAATAAATATTATTTATTTGAGCGAAGCTAAATGTTTAGCAAATGAAGTGTTTAGCTAACAAATGAATGTTAGCAGAAAACAGAAAATTAATTATGACTATTATTTTATCAAATCAATGTACATTTTTCTAGTAGAAAATAATTAAATACGTTGTTTTTTTTACTTTTTAGACGTTGAAATTTGATTATATTTGTGTGCGAGTTATAAAAAAAATGCCAGGGCATAAATTTTTAGCAATTACTAAAACAGAAACGTTTTCATTAATAAAAAATTCCAAACATTTCCTGTTACATTTTAATAAAATACAATTTTCTTATCCATTCCTAATGTTTTTTCCAGCGATGACCGCCTGAGTCTTGCCGAATTTTCCATAATCTGCCGAGCTCTTTTCCGCAACGACAAGGGACATATCTACGATGTGCCACCCGAACGCCTGGAGCAGATATTCGCCGTCTTCGATACGAATGGCGATGGCTTCATAGACAGGGAGGAGTTTAAATTCTGCTGGAACCAGTGGATAAAAACGGTGAGCTGGAATTAACTGAATTTCCCAAGCCCCCCTTTCAGGTTTCGTTGGTTTTTGCGCACTACTATACGTATGATTTTCTTGTTTTGTGGTTAACGTTTTGCGTTATTCAGTGATTTATATCCGGGGACTCGTAAAATCATAAAAAAATGTGATAATAAAATATTTGTCAACATGTATCTCCCCTTCCACAAGCAGACACACACACACATGAAGCTAAAATTTGCAATCAAAGTGGCCGAGTACTCGGATTGTGTGTGTAATTCAATCCTGATCAGTCCCAGACCCCGGCATTCTCAGGGGTGTGGAGAGGGGGCTTTTTGGGGGGATTTCAGGGGGCTTGGGCAGCGGTAAAATGTCGCTTACAGCGAATGTCACACGTCATGGGTCTCCCAGGGATGCTTTCATCATCATTTCCATTCCGCATTTCGTATTTCGCGTACCATCTCCATCCCCATTTCTACTTTCGTTCGCATTTCCACTTTCATCATCATCATCATCATTGTGCTGCTGGCCTGTCACGAAGAAGAAGCAGCAGGCGGCGGCATATGCAAATGTGATAATCCGATGCCGGGACTGCCTCACACAGATACACACTCATACAGTCACAGTGGCCAGACTCCGCACGTAAAGTGATAAAAACGCGTGACAAATAAAATGCCACAGAAAAAAGTATGGGAACTGGAAAACATGGCCAAGTTGCATTCAAGATGGGTTCCCATCCCCATTTCTTCTCTCCAACCAGCATATTAAAATAGGAATGGGCGAGGAAAAAATTTCAAATAATTTTATTGTTGTAGTCTATGACTTTTGCACATCTCCATCCGCATCACAACTTTGTTTGCCACAGTCGCTGCCATAAAATTGCGTACGTGATGGTACCAATTTGCAAAGACTTCTTTATTTATTGCCGCCTGCTTTAAGCTACTTGAAGCGCCGGCAAGTTTTGAATTTTATTTGGCTTTTTCCTTCTCTCTCGAGTGGAAATCAAAGTTCGACGAGGAATTTTCCCCGAAAAGTTTCGGCTTGTTGATAAAAACAATCTGAATAAAATTCTCGGTGAAAATGAATGGAATAAAAATAGTTTTTCGATGGTTTGGACAAGGAGTCGTTATTAGATTCTCCGTTTAATGGTGTTTCCTGTTTTATAACTATATTTTAAAAGAGTTTTCTTAGATACTTCGAACTTGCAACCATTGGAAAGTTATTTTCCTTTTCTAATTAAAGTCTTTAATTTTAGAAATCCTCTAAATTTAGTAGATTAAATATATTTTTGTATCATGTTCGTTGGTTAATAGTATTAAATAAGCTATTTATTTAAATGATTCTGTTCAAGTGGTGTAGTAAACGTTGAGTACAACAAGTAATTGTTTAAAGCTACTTTAATACTTAAATTTTTTGCAATTTACAAAGTTTTTCCATCCTTTTTGCGGATGGTTTTACTGGCAGGCAAACTTTTAATGATGTGTTTCCACCTGATAAACAAGACAACTTAAAGCTGGTTTAAGTTCTCAATTTTACTGAATTTTCAGCAAGGGTTGGAAACGGTAGGAAAACGCCTTTAAATTGCTTAATGATTAGGGGTATCGTTTTAGACCATTTTTATCACATATCCAAATATTTAAAGTCTATTCTTTGAGTTTTATGCTGTGTGGATGGTAAACCATCAGTGTGTTTATATATTTTCCCACCTTCTAAAACGGAGGCATCAACTTTGATGACCTGCTCTCCACCCGGCAATCCACCCACATTCCCATTACGTATACGCAGTGATGGCAGCTTATGCGTTGCCTGTTGAGTCCTGCCCTCCATTGTCACGCGACAAATTATTTTTGTGGAGCATGGGGAAAGGAATAATCATTTTATTTTTGATATGCCATTTAGCCCCGCCCAACGGGGACCGCCTCTTCCGCGTGGCACACACACCAAATTGTGTAATATTGTATAAAAAATTTATTAACGTATAAAAAGCAGAGCGAATGAAATCTTCCGGCAGCTCGGCAGCTGATATTGTAATAACGGCAACACTTAAAAAAATGACAGCCCCTAACGAAACCCTAGTTACGCATTCGCAGTTTTTGCACGAGAAATGAAATAAATTCGAGCAAAAATGCCGCCCCATAAAATTGACTTTTGTTTGTATTTCCGCATGAATTGCATAAATGGTAATTTTGCAGTTTAATGTTTGTGCGAAGGGATGGGGAAAATCAGAAAGAAGGCGAAACGCAGCGCCAAAAAAACGGAAAAAAGGAAAAACAACAAACCAGCCGAAAAATTTGCATAATAAACAAATCAACTGACGGACGACTAAAAAGAGGAGGAGGGTTGAGTTTGGCTTAGAATTATGAGGATGAAACTTTGGCACACACATACAGACGCACACACAAATTAAATAAACGCATAAATAGAACATTAACGCCATAAATCATTTGCAACGGTCGCTAAATATTTTGCGGCTCCTGCGGCTGTCTGCTTATAAATATATTTGTGTGGATTTCGGTTCGGTTCGGTTGGGATTGCACATTGAAATCGATTGAAGTTGCGGAAACGGAAATGGAAATGAAAGCAAATTTATGGAAATAATACCGACCGATGGCCCATCGAATGATTGCGCGTGTCCAGAATTCATTTGAATGCGAAAGGTAGTCGTCTGTCCGTCTGTCTGTCCATTATTTACCCCAATTTTGATTTACACACATAATTCAATATGACGCGCTTACGTTTTGATGTTTTTATTGTGTGTTTGCATTCGCCCCGAAAGTGCGTAATTTATGTGCTTAAATGTGCAGAAAATGCTTTTTTAACCAACTGCACAGAAAGGTGGTTTTCTGTTTTTCGGGGTCCCAGGCGAAAGTTGCCCCAAGCGTGAAATGCTGCGGCTTTCACATTTCTGGGAGCCCTGTTTTTGACGAGGGACCAAAGTTTGTGCTTGGGTTTGGGTCCCTTTGCTCTCTGCTTAAAATACTAATTGACAAAGGTGAAAGGACACATATACAGCACAGCTCGGCGTTTTCCTGATAAACTCGCTGCCCTGGCACTTTATTTAATGCGAATCTATTCCTTTTGTTTGGGCCTTCCCTTTGACATTTTTCGGCCCTCTCAATTGACTGCAAGAGGCGTTCTTTTCATGTACACAAGTACATACTGTATACCATTTCTTTTATTTTGGAGCTCCTTTGTTCGTAAATATTTCATTTCTTTAAACTGCTTTTATTTCTCGTATAATAAATTTATGGCCACCTCACCTGCTCGTTGGTTTGCGCTCCTTTGTGGAAGGAAACACACGCACACCCACACACGAGGGCGGTGGGCGTGGCAGCCATATATCATACAAGGCATCATCATATAGTTCATTGAACCCCCTGGCCATAAAGCAACTCAAAAATCTTCAACAGCTTTAAGTGTCTTACAATGTCTACCGTTAATCTTGGCCCACCCCCTCCCCCTGGCAGACACACACACACTCACAGATATTACAGACATACAGACACTAACACTGTGCCGTTTATAATGTCTTCATTTATGGCACAAAATGTGGCACATTTTTTTGTGCTCAGTTACGCACCAACACCGAAAAAGACACGGCGAATAGTCAGTCGTCCTCCATCTCGGCGGGCAGGAGAATTACACTGAGTGCCAAAAGTCGCCTCACAACTTCTCTGCTCATCGAGCGGAAAATAATATCGTGCTATAAATTTCGCTCAGTTTTTCCCCGCTCCCAGCTTAATTTTTGCTGGTCGCTGGCTGCCGACTGCTGGATTTTCCCCTGGCGGCTGCCTCACCGACTGATGAAAGTTTAACGACCAAAGTTGACACGCTGCGGCGATTATTTAGAAAGTTAATGACTTATAACATACCCCAAAAAAGTCACAGGAAATGAAACAGTGGAGGAGGAAATCAGAAAAAGGGAGGGAGTGCTCGAGGGGGAGGGCAAAAGCAAGATGACCGGAGGAGCAAGATTCATTGATTTACTGACCAGTCTGAGAGTTGGTTTTAGTTGATTGGACTTTATTGAAAAATGAGTCGCCATTTCTTAAGCTCTTGAACGGAATCAGCGAAAAAATGCGATAAATTGCAGGTTAACTAGGACGGCCCAATTCATCTTGGCTCGAATGTAAATTTGAAAGAAAAAGGACGGAGGACCTGCGATTTGATTTCCTGTCATTTCGGGTGACCAGTGCTTGCGGCAAATTCGGTTAGGTTTTCAACGCAGTTAAATAATGGTTATAATCACTCAACTAACTTTTACAAAATTGGAGATTATGATTGTTAAATTAATTTCCACGGAGTATTTTTTTATAAGAGACAGATAGTGGTTTGAAAATGTTTGAAAAAATATTCTAAAAAATATATTTTTTTTAGATTGTTGAATTCATTTTAACTACCACTAAGAAAATCATAATAATTAAGGTTATGATAGGCAAAGACATTTTTATGGAATATATTGTTTAAAAATGTTTCATACATTTATAAGAGATTTTTGTTTGAATTGCGGAATTAATTTTAAGTATAATTCATTTATTAGTTTTTTCAATATTTTTATTGTTTTGGAATAGGGAAAAAGGAGTCTAAGAATAGGATAGTTTCCACCCAAACCAGTTACCCCCAAAAACCTCTTCAACTTTTGCCTTAATCGAAATCGGCTCAGCGAAACAATTTCCCCACTATCCTATCCAACCATAAGTTGTGTCGGAATTCAAGGCACCTTTTATCCAGATAACCCCGCAAGTTCTGGGCGCTTATTTATAGTTAGTTTTCACTTCTTTTGGCGGGTGCAATTCCCACCTAACAACTACCAACTACCACCTATCGAATCCTTAGCCCGGCTGTCTGGCAGCCGCATAAATTGTATAATGTAATTTTCCAGCAACTGTCAGCCCCAGCCCGGCTCAGCCCACAAATCCACAAAACTGTCAGGACGATGAGGACTGTCTGCCTATGCCAAATATATCTGTGCATATATCTCTGTGTATATATATCTCTACCGTATATATTTATGTATTGGGGGTCTCCGGCGACTGGCAGCCACCAACTTATGCAACAATTTCGGAGCGGAAATTGCTTTAGCACCTGCCTCCGCCTCTCCACCCACCTTCCCCCCCAAAAAGGTGTACATTTTGGGGATATGTGTGATACCAAATATATATAGATGGCATGTGGGTGTGTCTGGTCTGGCTTCGGCACGTTCGCCTTTTTGGCACATACTTCAATAGCAAGTTGAATTCCATTCCATTCGAATCGAATCGTGGCTCGCTCTCGTCTCGTCGTCACTCGTTTAGCTTGGCAACTTTTTTGGCCCAGAACCCAGAACCCAAAAGCCAGAGACACACGAACACTTTGACAGTTTGTCTGCCTCACTGAATTGAAGTTGGCCTGGGAGCCAGCAGCCCGATTTGGGATTGGTAACCCCAAAAAACGTCGACGCTCTGGGTTTTACGGATTTTGAAATTTATTTCCCACCGAAATTGAGTCGAACCGAAGGACGAAAGTTTCTCCTGTGTGTGTGTGGCAAAGTTATTCCTATAACTTGTTCCTTTTGTCTCGGCTTCAAGTGTAATTTGAATTTAAGATTTGCTGTGGTTACCGAAAGGTGCCAAGAACTCTAGTCCCCTTTTCCCTTTTAGCCCTTCCCCTTACGAAAAACCAACCTGTGGTTATCCATCCCCCTTCCGCAATCTTGCCTTCAATAATTAATTTAACTGTAGCACATTTTTGTGGAGTGAGGAGCTTCATCAGAGATTCATAGTTTTAACTTTAAATTAAGATGCTGATTTCCGGGGGGCTGTGTGCCATCATAACAAAGGCCCAGAGGTCAGTTGTTTATATTGGCCGGAATTTGAGGGATGGGGCGCGTGTTAACGATGATGATGATGGCTCGCCAGTGGATCTTGGGTAGCATCTGTGCCAGATGGCCCGTAATTGGAAGCCTGGCCCTGATTTCTTGAGGTGAGCGAAGAGCAACTTGATGTGCAAATTGCGGTAGACAACCGGGGCTCCATCCCGTTTGTTCGAGCTTCCGAAGCCTTTTGTGGCCTTAGCCGTGTTTGCCCCCAGTTATTAACTCGGCTCAGCTCCCTGGCTTGTCTAATGTGTCGGCCTTAATTGTTTTGGAGTTGGGTTTAAGCCGAAGGAGGAGGGTTAGTTTTGATTTGTAGTTGAATTAACAAGGAGGACCGAGCCAAGAGCCTCGAGGGCAACTGAAGAGAGACTGACTGGTAGAGTTTGATGAGAAAAAAAATTGAGAACGAAAAACAGAGACTTTTTATGTCCGTTTCTCTTTTAAAAGTAGAAGAAATTTTTCAAATCGAACCTTTAATTAAAAAGTTGTGAACAAATCAAATCAACAAATCAAATTCAAGCAGTGCATCTCCCTCGCACTTCCTTTAACTAATTTATTTAATAGATTTTATCTCACTTTTGAGTTCGAAAATTCTGAAATTAAGATAGTTGAGAACTGTTTTTTTCTGAGTGTTAGAGCAACATTTTCTCGGAAGGAGTTATTGTCATATAAGCTACAGATCCTGTCGCTGTCCCTATCCCGGGCATTTAATCTTCCCCGGCATTTCCCTGAACCCAAATTACCCAACACTTCCTTTCACTTAGACACTACGACACACACGAACTTGGCTAAATTGATACATTAACTACCTTGATCCGGCTATTATCTGGCTGCAGCTCCGCTTCCCCTGCTGCAAACTATTCTCAAAATGTTGAGAATGTTCGCCATGTAAATGTAAATCACTTCCTCTCGACTCGGTGCTCCATTCTCCTGCCGCAATTCTCCTTTCGCCGCTCTTGGCATCCAAAGTGGTTGCATCCCAGTGGCAACTGCGACTGCCAACATGGTGATAAATCATCAACTGCTTAAGCGCTGTCTCCCCGCTGCCCAGAACTCCAGTCTCCAGTCTCCTTGGTTCACCTGCCTGTGGATCCTTGCAGCTGCAGCTCACGTTCCAGCGCTTTAAGGCATTTAGCTGGATGACATATTTTAAATGCCCTGCCAGCCCAAACAACACAAATCAAAAGGAGCAGGAGGAGGAGGAGGAGCACAAGGAGCAGGAGGACCAAGAGCAGGAGCTGCAACTGCGTCTGTGTTTGCGCATAGATCATAATCATTCATAATCAGCGTGCACATAAATAACAAATTAAAAGCGCTTCACTAATTTTAAATATGCTCGAACATAATCAGCTTACAGTGAGCCACAAGGATGCGACAGAGGATGGGAATGGGGCTGCAGGATTCAGACGGGAATGTTGAGGGGGACGGGGGCTAAGGATGGGGCTGTTGATGATGCTTTCGCCACTGTTGATGATGCCGCTGCTCCTGCTGCCAGTCAAGATAGCAATGACAACCTAACGAGCTGCTCCCCGCCTGTCTCTGTGTGTGTGTTTTGCCTGTTTGTGCGAGAAATTTAGATGCTCTTCAAAAAAAGGTTATAATGCATGTTAAAAAAAGTTTGGCTCCAGAATATCATTGAACTTTAAGGAGATTTAAAACATATTTTAGAATCAATAAATATTTAAAAAATTAAAGGATATCATAAATTAGGTATACTCAGAGTCCACTATGAGTTTAGGCTAAATACCAAACGATATTTTATTTAAAATAAATTTAGAATAGTCCTTAAAAAATTAATGAAAAGCACTAAGCTTTAAATAACCTTTTAATAATTCTTTTTCTGAAGAAATTATATTGAAATAAATATAAAAGTATAGAAATTTAGGTATATATTAAAAAAAGGTATTGTTTTTCATGTCATTTAAACTTAAAATAATTTTCGCCATATATATCTTCTCTTTTTTAAAAGCAAGCGCATTCACAATTCGTTGTATCTCCCATACATTTCTCAAGATTTCTATTTTTTTCTTATTCCTCCTTTTTTTGACTGGCTTTTACTTCATTTAAAACGCATTTATAACGCTGGGCGGCGAAAAAAGAAACTCATCAGCCGACGGAGAGCACACACACACACAGCCACACTCCGATACACACGCTAATGCAGAGCCCATATATGTATACAAATTTTCTTTTTAGCTTTTCATGTTTGTGCTCTGGGTACTTTTGGTACCGGGTCCGCCCAGAAAATGGCCCGCCCCCTTTCACCTTTCACCGCGTACCGCCTTTGTGGCGCCTGCTTAACTTACTTTGCCCATACAATTTTTCTTACAATTTTCTTTCAGTTCTCTGTTGTCCCTGCTCCTGTTTTCCTTTCCTCACGATTTTTTATTTTCCCTCTCGTGGCTGCTCATGTTTCCCGCTGTAACATTTTCGTGATACTCACCATCTCTTTTTTTTTCGTCTTCTCTTCTCTGGCAGATTGTGCGACCGGTGAACGCGTTCCTCATTGTTGATGTACAAAATGATTTTATAAGTGGTTCCTTGGATATAAGTAATTGCAGTGCACAGCAGCAAGGACACGAGGTGAGCGCCGGAGTCGCAAATGGCGAGTGGGGGATGGGGTGTTTTAGGGGATGTGGGTTATTTTGGGTGGTTAACTTGGCAGCAACCTGGCCAGCAGCTTAGCCACCCGACAGGTGCGGTAAGCGACGGCGACGACGGAAGGACATAAAAAAGTAAAGCGTAACAAGAAATGAAAATGAAGGACCCGGGTTCCTGGGTTCCTCGGTTCGAGCCAAAGTCATCGCCGCTCCAGATGATGAGGATAAGCCGGTTCTGTGGGGATGGGATGGTAGTGGAAGTTGTGCATGTCAGACCTCAATACCAGATACTTTAGGGGGATAAGAAGGGAGAGAGAGAGAGAGAGGAAGAGAGAGTGCAGAAGCGGAAGCGGATATGCTTTACTTAAGTCGCTTCCGCGCTGCGACACACGCCGGAAGTCGTCGAGATCTCTCCATCTCCTTCTCGCTCGCTCTCTGGCTCACTCCCCCTTTTTAATGCCACGCCCACTCCATTTTCATTTCCATCTGGCAACTGACATGGCTCTGCGGCTGGTACATGAAAATTTGTCAAAATTAATAACACGCACTTCCGTCTCCTCTTCGCTTTATGGACTCCTCGGTGGCTCTCAAGTTGACTTTGTGTGGCAAGTGGCAGCAGCTCCACCTCCTCATCCTCCTCCTCCTTCCATTTCCGTCCACAGATACTGGAGCCCATCAACAAGCTGCTGGATACGGTGGACTTTGATGCCGTCTTCTACTCATTGGACTGGCATCCCAGCGATCACGTTTCATTTATTGATAATGTCAAAATGCGCCCCATGGACGAGTCCTCCTCGGTAAGCAGACGTCGATGGTAATTGAACGGAAGTGCCGGGCACTTAACATCCCCTACTTCCAGTTGGATTCGGACTCCGCCCAGGTGTTCGATACGGTCATCTTTGCCGGTCCGCCGCCCATGAAGCAGCGCCTGTGGCCCCGCCACTGCGTCCAGGACTCGTGGGGAGCCGAGCTGCACAAGGACCTCAAGGTGGTGGACCACGGCATCAAGGTGTACAAGGGCACCAATCCGGAGGTGGACTCGTACTCGGTGTTCTGGGACAACAAGAAGCTCTCGGACACCACGCTGAATGCCCAGCTGAAGATGAAGGGCGCCACGGACATCTATGTGTGCGGTCTGGCCTATGACGTCTGCGTTGGAGCCACAGCGGTGGATGCTCTGTCCGCCGGGTACAGGACCATCCTCATCGACGACTGCTGCCGGGGAACGGATGTCCACGACATCGAGCACACCAAGGAGAAGGTGAACACCAGCGATGGCGTTATCGTTCATACTAACGAGGTGAGGATTAACTTGGTGAAAAAAATAGAAAGAGAGAAATTATAATAACCAGAAATAGCCTAGCCAATAAAATGGTAATTAAAATGTATCTTAAATTATGTTTAATAATTTTTAGAATTTAAGAAATTTTGCAAAAATAAAGTATGCAATAAATTGGCAATTAAAATTTACCATAATCTAAATAAATAAATCTTAGAGTCATACTCAATAAATTAGCAAATAAAATGTACCATAATCTAAAAACATAATTCTAAGAATTTTGCTGTTAAAATTAGTGGTTAAAATATCTATATATATTTTTTTATTCAGGCACTTTATTTAAAATTGCTAAGCTTTTTTGCTTTAAATATTTTTCAAACCATATACATATTAAATATGTTTTAGAGTTATACAAATTAATTTCAAATTTTTAATCTGCTGATACATAGTTTGTTACTTACCACTTAGAAAAAATAAGTATAAAATATTATGATCACACTTTTTGCTTTAATATGTTAATATATTTTTTTCCAACCCTTTTTCCAGGTCAAGGCAATGGCTGAGGGTCGCGATCGTCGTCCGGAACTGGGCTACAAACTGGCCATGGAGCTGAAGAGTCCTGATTCTGTACTTTCGCAACGCAACGGATTCAGACCCACATATTAAATCCTAAAGGCAAATCAACACGCTAGGCTTATTTTCATGGATATCAAACAAAAAGACAAAAGGCTTTTATGTAGTCAACGGTTAGAGCGTTTCGATTAGATTAGATTAGCAACACCTGTGAAGTGCCTCCGTAGATTGGCTAGCTTTTGCTAAAAACATTCTAGAATTGGTAAACTCTTTTTTAAGCCTGTTATCCATGTGGATTTTACATGACATTACAGAACTAACAAAAACAACAATCGTAAACGAAAAGTGCAAAGTTCTTGCCTGCAGATGCGGAGTTAAGGAGGTAAATCAAATGACATTCAAGTATTACCGAGCTCTCTCTCTCTACATATAACCCAAGCACCTTTAAATACAATTCCAAGAGCAATAAAGTACTAAGGGTTCTTAATGTTGTGCGCTGCACCTGTTTGAATTAAATTGATATTATATACAAACAACAAATATATAAGTAGAGATCATTATTTATTTTAAAACAAACTATATAACAACTGCTTCAGTGAGAAATATTGTATGTACTTAAAATCGTTGAAATGGAAATAAAAATGGATGGATTTATGAAAGACAAATGGGGTTTATCTATGATAGATTAGATTTAAAAGTTTGTTATATGGTATTTATCATATTTATTGGAAATAATGATAAATTACTATCAGCTTTGTGGATTCAGTGTCAAATTAGTGTCCCCCTGAAGCCATTTTCAGATCCCATCGAAGCCATAGATATCCGGATCACTTGCACCCATTTTGTATGAATATATGCGTGTTCTCTTTAAGCGAATTGCCAGTTGCAAGGCAAAAACTTCAAAACAAACCGTATAAATGTCCTGGCCGAAAGTGTGGCACAGACTGTTAAACGTTTTTTCTTCGTATGTGTGTTTTTTCTGGTTTTATTCTCAGAGTTTTCCAGCTCAGGAGCAGCATGAGGAAAACAGAAATAACAATCCATGCAGCGTTTAAAGAAACTTTTCTGTTTTATGTGTCTGTGCCTTTTTCCCTCTCCTATTCTCCGCCAGAGGTTTTTGTTTTTGACCAATTTTTGGTGTTTTTTTCCTTTTTTTTTGTTTTTTTTTTGTAAATGCAAGGAACGGGCTGGAGAAAGTTCTCGCCTGTTACTTTTCGAGCAGGCGACTAAAACCAACTTTAAATTTATTAACACCCGGCTACTAAGCAAAGGCGGAGTGGGCGTGGCCCCATTGTGGGCCCAGTGTAAAGTGCAAACTTTTTATTTTCCACATTTCAGCATATTTTCCCATTTGCCAAATGGGCGAGCCACTGCGAGAGTCCGAGTCTGGCCAAGTTTTATGGTAAGCACTCCCCCCAGAATTCTCGCAGCCACCCCGTGTGGTTTTCCCAGCTAAGCACTGAGCACTGGCTTTTGGTCTTTTATTTGGATCGGGAACAGAGCCTCAAATCGTTTACCTTTTGTGGCGTCGTCTGCCGTAGACAATGAACTTTAGCTCCGGCTCCGGTTCCCAGATCTCTAGACTGCGACTCGGAGCCATACTGAGAAAAATGTTAGTATCACATTTTTCACCAAATTTATGGCACACTAAATTGCTGTTTAGTTTCGCTCGGGTGTGGAAAAGTGCAGCATGCATTGTCAGTTTGCCTCTTTCATGTCTCTAAATATTTTATTTCTTCCTGTAAAATGTTTATACAGCTAGCTTTTCATAAATACCCATTTTTAGTGTCTGAAATAAAAGTGTCCCATTGTTTTAAAACGTTTATACACCTTTCATCAGTTGAAATAATGACTTGAACAAATATTTGTAGTTAAGTATGAATGAAAAGTAAATTGATAATGGACATTTTATATACCTATTGCAAAGAATTAGGACAAATTTCAGATTTATTAAGAAATATTAAGAAATTTGGAATATTAGAATATTTAGAAAGAAGTTTTATACAGAAGAAAAGAAAAGATTAAGATTCAGTAATTAAATGAAAAAGAAATTGGTTATGGGCTGCGACCTTTTAAATATAATTTTCATAGAATTTAGAGAAATTAGAGTTATTATTTTAAATAATAATAAAAAAAAACAGAAAACAATTTGTATTTTTCTACAATTAAAGTTCAGTAGCTTGGAAGATAAATGGATTAATATTTAGAATAAATATTTCGCAGACAAAAATTTATACCTTTATTTTCTCGCTGTCCACCAAACTTTTGTTGTCATGCCCTGTTGTTCGGGGTTCTGTTGTAGCTGGCGGTGGCGGTGGCGATGAAAATGGAAATGGCTATGGTGGTGGCGGCATCTCTTGCGGTCATGCCACTGAAATCCACACGCTGCCAGCTGTCAGCGGCACTGGAAAATGTTCCACTCACACAGCAGCAGGCACACACGCACACGGGGAAAGCAGCGGGAAAAAAAGGAAGAATCGCTGATGAAAATTGCTTGCAAGTGGTTTCTGTTTCTGTGTCTCTGGCTCTGACTCTTCCAGCCCTTTTGCCATGTAATGGTCTCTGGTTTTGCTTGTAAAACTTTTGGATTATTGTCAGGCACACATAGGCACATGGGCTGGCTGGCCATTTGCCAAGAGGCCCGGGACTTGGACACGGACTGGGAAAAGGACTAAGGACTACGGACTGCGGACCATGGACCACGGACCAGAGACTACGGACTGCGACTACGAAAAACGGAATATGGACACGGACATGAGCGCTTCGTTCGCGTTTTGCTCTTAACAGCAAATTCTCGCACATTTTTCTCTTGCACTCTCACTCTATACATCCATCCATCTATCTATCTGGCGCTGCTGCTGCGTAGGCGTCGCCATTTTGTCCATGACCTGGAACTGCAAATTCAACTGTGTCCTGTGTGTGCGAGTGTGTGTGTGTGTGAGCCAAATGCAGATGAAGCCGGGAAACTCAGAAGCTGGGAAGTCGGAGAGAATCCCCAGCTGCTGTCTGCAGGCGACTGGCTGACTTGTAGCTTGTTCTTGTGCGCTAAGCTTGCTGTTGGAGGTTGTGAAAGGGGCGGTGGTGGAGGGGTTAAGGGGTTAAGGGGCCAAGGGGGCGTTGGCGTCAGAAGCCACTATGTTGCGCCCGAGATCTTAATCGCTTCGACAGGGTTACGGCAGGAAAACAAACTGACAGTAGCGTACCTCAAGGAAGCCTGCCAAAACGTCTCCCGGCATTAGGTGGGCTCCTGACTTCAATGATTCCCAAGCAACCTCAATAATAAATCGTATTTTCACTCTATCAATAACGAGCACACAGAAAAAAGCAGATTGTCAGCTCAGAGCTCAGTTATTGCTGTTATTAAATGAGATTTTATCCTTAGAGCCAGGTAAACCAATAAATAATATAAAATACTTAGTAATATTGTAATTAAAAATTAATTAAATTAAAAATTTCTTTTTTTAATTTTCCGTTAAAAATAACATAGCTTATTCAAAAGGAGAGTTTAAAACGAATAGTTTGCAGTATAAATTCCAAGATTTGGCCGCATCTCAAAAAACGCTTGCCAAATATTTGTGAAAAGATTGTAACCATAAGTTATGCGATGTGTAAGAAAGATTTAATCATTTTGTTATTCACAAAAACGTAAATTAATAACTAACTTAAATAGTTTTGATGGGCGAGTAAAACTTTGGCATAAAGATTTTGATATAAAGAGAGAAAAAATCTTTGCTCCAGCTATGAAAAATTGTTAGTTATGGGCTCTAAATTATAGAGATCAGGGCTGTGAACCCATATTATTTTTGCATGGGTTCGGTTCGGGGTTCAAACCTAATCGACAGATAATGTTCCGGTTTGCGAACCGGTTCAATGATGAGCCGGAGCAGGGTTCAGGTTCGAACCAGGGTTCAAAACAATAAATTTTATTTAATGAAATAATAAAGTCAACATTTATTTCCATGTATTTTCATTGAAATATGTACCATAACATTAAGACTTATAAGTAAAGTTACTAGATTTATGATTTATAAAGTGTTTACCAGTTAAGGCAAAGAGTATACTCTTTGCTTTATTCATGTAATTTTAATGTGGGCATACTGCGAAAAGTTTTGGAAGATGGTAGTTATATATTATTAGATTGTTTGAGTTAGATGCAGTCATTGCATAGCCAAAAAAATTGGCGCATTTTTAAGGGAAATAGTAAATAAACTCTATGTTTATATGATCAGAAAACCCCCCACACTGTTGAATAAAAAACACGAACACACAAAATAAATTTTTAGTGAACCGAACCGAATATCAAAAAAAAAAGTTCCGGTTCGGTTCCGGTTCAATTATAAAAAAATTCGGCGCTCCGGTTTACGGTTCGGTTCGTTTTCTAAAAAAAGTGAACCACTCCGGTTCGGAGTGGTTCAGCTCTGGAGTGGTTCACAGCCCTGATAGAGATAATACATTCTGAATCATATGCTTCCATCTAATATATTTAAATTATAAGGAATACATAGTTTCGCTACAAACAGTAATCTTATTAAATTTAAGTAAATGTAGAGAATCATTTGAGTTTCTCAGTTAAACCAGCTAAGCTTTCTGCAGAATAATATAAATCATTACCTTCCCAGATTCAAACAACTAAGCTGGCAGTAGAATAACAAAAATTAACGTATTGTTTGCTTAACGCCGTGAATTTTGAAGCTGTCTTCGCGGAAATGCAGCCCCCATAAAAACAAAATCAGCTAGCACAATAACTACAGAGGCGATAACAACTAAAACAACAAGCGGGCTTTACTGGGGGGCTCCCCCTTTTCCATTTTCCGGGGCGGAGTGGCAAATTAGTTTTTCAGTTTCAGCTGCCAGAGAAAACCTTATTGAAATTATAATTTATTTATTAGCGGCAGTGGCAGCAGCAGCAGCCAAAGTGGAATGAAGGGAAAGGGTGCCGTGAATAAACTGAAAATGTCAAACCAATTTGCTGCGGAAAATTTCGGTTGCTGATTAGATTGGATGCCATGGCCAAAAGTTTTAATTATGAATATGAAAAATTTTGTGCACTCTTGGCTCTGGCGAAGCGAGTTGTAATTAAATTTTTGCACAGGTAAACGAAGTTTTTCGCCCGGCAAACTGAAGGGAAATCTTGTGCTCCTCCCTCGTTTGTTATTGTTGTTTTTGGGGTTTCATAACTGATTTAGCGACAAATATGCTGTAGCTGCAGCTGAGCTCTTGGCGGGTTGGCTAAAGTTTTCAGCGCCGTTGAACGGGTCGTATGCGCAATGTTTTGGCAGGGGAAATGCAGACAGGAAGTTGTTGCTCCGGTTGCCCCGGCAACTCCTTCGCCATGTTAATTCTAATGCAGTCAAATGAGTTTGCCATGCTGGCTCTGACTGACTGACTGGCTGAGATAGAAAGTTTTGGGCTCCGTTTGTGCACTTGTGCAGGATGTGATTATGAGGTTTTCATATTACAAATATGTGTGTCACCCTCCCCAACCCACTTTCTTGGCAAGTGTGTGGCAATAAAATGCTTTACTGATTTGGAAAGTTTTGTCATTAAGCACACTTGCTGCCGCCGCCATCACTTTGCCCTGATTACAGTTTAGAATTTCACAAATATTTGCCAGCGAACGTTTCATCTTTCTGTATCTCGAATCTGTTTCTGTCTGTCTGGCTGC